AAAAGAAAAAAAAATCTTCTGAATATTCTCAGGATCATTGCCTTGCTCATCTTTTAGATATAACTGTATGGCTTGACATTGTCATATTTCCTAGCTCTTCTCCTTTCCCTCTCTTGATTAGTTAGTCCTTGAGATCCTACTTTCCTTTTACTTGTATTATAACTTTCTATTTGTATTTCTTCTTTTGAGTTCTTATACTAGGGAGACTATACAATATTTACACATGTGTCTGGTTTATTTCACTTATGAGTATATGTTCAAGTGACATCCACTTCAATATAAAGGCTTGCAGTTCATCATTCTTAATAGCTGAATAATACTTCATTGTGTAAAAATACCACATCTTTTTCAACCATTCCTCAGGTGATGGGCATCTTGGTTGTTTCTAAGATTTGGCTGTGAAAGTGATTAATCTTTAATACTTTTGCCACTTTTAAATCTACTAAGTATGTATTCAAAATACATACTTAATTTGTTCCTCAGTTTTACTTTAATGGTAATGCCATGCTTTCTTAAGTAAATCTAAATTGCCTAAGTTTTGTCCAGGCTGTCAAAGTCAGAGTGTGATCCTGACTCCTTTTAGGACAGGGCTTTGTCTTCCCCTTGAGAATCTTTCTCCCCAGGAGGATACTATGGATGAACCCAGGGCCTTTCCCAGAGGGGATTGTTTTTTGATGTCCACATACTCATTTTTTTAAGAAATAAAAGCAGACTTTAGAGGGGAAAGCTGAGTACTTTTTAGACAAAAGATTTAGTCTGTAACTGTCTTTATGTTTGAAAGTGTCTGAAATCAACTTCTTTCCCCTCTTTAAATTTTATTTTATTTTTATTTTTGGTACTAGGAATTGAACTCAGGACTTTGCACTTGCCAAACAGGCATTGTGCCACTGAGCTGTATCCCTGGCCTTCCCTTTTTTTTTTTTGCTAAGCATCTAGTAAAATCTCCCTGTTCTCACATATGTACACAAGCAAGCTGCCAAGTAGGTGACTTAAATGGTAACAATATAATATATAGCCAGAAGAAAGTGTTTATTGGGCAGAATATTCCTATTTTTCACAGGAGTGGAATTTTGCAAGCAGTTTTTCCATATTCCTTGAAGGGGATAAAAGGTATAAGAAATATTGCTAAATGTCATAAAACATTGGGGATATTTCTGAAAAGACCATTTTAAAAATTAGATGCCAGAGATTATCATCAAGGTTGAATCAGAGTAATAAAATAGGCACAGTTAGCTTTTGTTTAAGAAAACAACCTGGGTATAGTCCCATGTTCCTATAATCCTAGTAGTTGGGTCTAGGCTATATAATGAGTCCAAGGCCAGACTATATGGCAAGACCTGTCTCAAAAAAGCAAAACAATAAAAAGGAAACAAAACAAAAAAAATTTCCCCATTTTTTTTACTCTAGAAGTGGGGAAAAGAGCTGTTATTGGCTGTGTGTGTTTTGCTTTGTTTTGTGTGTTTGGTTGTGCCATCAAGCTACATTCCTAGCCATTTTTTAATTTTATATTTTGAGACAGGTCATTAAGTTACTAAGTTTTCTGGGCTGAGCTCAGACTTGTGAGTCTCCTGACAGCCTCCCAGAGCTAGGATCTCAGGTGTGTACTACCGCAGCTGGCCGTTATTATTTTTATGTTGGGATAGTCAAGATCCACTATGAAGATTTGAATTAGTTTATTTATTAGAGATTTTTTTGTTATTGTTGTTATTTTGTTGTTGTTGTTTTGAGATAGGGTCTCACTGTGTAGTTAAAGCTGGCCTTGAATTAATCATGTAGCCCAAGCTGACCTCAAACTCACAGTGACCCTCCTTCTTTAAGCTCCAAAGTTCTGGGATTACAGATGTGCACCACCATACGCAGTTCATTGAGCTGTAATATTTTAAAAGTATTAGATTGTCAGTTCATTTATTTTAAAATATATAAAAAATAATCCTATTCTTTAGAGTTTAAAAAAATCTACATTGTTGGAATTACAAGCTATTATAATCACAGTTTTTATTCTGGTACTAAACAGATTTATTATTTTAAATTTATTTGAGTAATTATCAACTTCATTACATTGTTTCATATTATAAATAAAATATATGCATTATAAGATTATAGAAAATATAATATGCCACCAAAAGCCCATGCTTTTAACAGTGTTATTTTGCATTTTACAGCCTACAAACAGTATATAAATATAATTGGGCTTATCTCTGGCTTTGTCAACACAGGGTTTTTGTTTTTTGGGGTGAAAGAATGAGGGTGGAGGAAGCAAGGACCTTCTGCTGGGTGTCTTGTTGTTTACTAGCTTCAAAGCAAAGAATCATGTATGTTGATGTGATTCAGTTGCTTGAAAAATAGGCTTGTTGGTCATTCATGTTTTCAATTTAACAACTTACTCATATCTAGTGACTTATTTTTCATGTTAAAATTGTTTCCCTATGGCTGTTGAAAATGTACACAATTTGTACTTATTCAGTGGCATAGCACTTGCTTAGCATGCATGAAGCATTGGGTTTGATTTGCTGTGCTGCCCCCCAAAAAGCTATATAGAATTTTACCTCTCTTTTTCAGTTATTTTCCACTTACAGTTTTAAAAACATCATTCATTATTAGTTTTGCCATATGAAAATGTTAATCCTTTATAATCTCTGTCATTTCCATCCAAATAGCTTTTATATTTTATGATCTCTTCTCAATTTTTAAAGTTTTCTGGATTTTTAAAAATTATGGTATAACCTAGGAATCTATATTCCACTGGCATTTCTAAAATAAATGTTCTACCTTTTTTGTGGGGGCAGTAGAACTCGGGACCTTGTGCTTGTCAGGCAGGCACTTATGCTGCTGAGCTAGATCCTTAGTCCCCTAGTCTACCTATTGAAAATCTTTCTGTTGTTCTCTTAATGAAGAAAATGGTTAAAGGTGCTTCCACTTGTCTCTTTATCTCTGAATTTTAATACTAAGTTAAATATCCAACTCTTAAGTAAACTAAGATCTGGTTTTTATGCTTTTTCTTCCTGTAGGTTTTTTAAACTTTTTTCTTAGGTTGGTACTACACTTGTCTTAGATAGGCCTCCCACACCCTATTGAGAAGTTCTGTTTTTAATTTTGGGTAACCCCAAATTCAAGCCTTGTGTGCTCATGCTGTAGTCTTACCGTAATAAGAAGTTACTGTTCCACTTAATAGTCATCTTACTTGCTTTATCACAGCTAGAATCTTTTTTTTCTTTTTGATACCAGGTCTCACTGGGCAGCTCAGACTCATAGTGATCCTCCTGTCTCAGCCTCCCTAGTGCTGGGATTACAAGTGTGCACAGCCACACCCGGTCCCCAGGGCCAGCATGGCATGCAGTACCAGGGATCAAACTCAGGACCTTGCGCTTGCCAGGCAGGCACTTACTCCACAAGCTAGCTCCCAGCCCTACCTGCTTCTGCTTTGCTGCTTTTCTTAATACTTTATATTCTGATATAGCTGAAGTTTCATTTATATCACAATCACTTAAGAGATGTGTCCTCTCCTAGGCTCCACCTTAAGACCTACTGAAAAGTACTTTCTGAGTGTGGTGACCTGGCAATTTGCATTGTAACACATTTCCCCAAGTGATTGATGACCACTGTGCTTTCACGTAACCAGGTTTCAAGCATCAGCTCAACTCTTCCTTTTCCATGAAGCAGCTGCCCTAGCTTAGGAAGGCTGTCCCTGAATTTCTGTTTGTACTTTTCATTGCCAGTAGATCTTTTGCATATTTGTCCTTTGCTTTCTGTTTCTGTCGTCTGTGTTGCAGTACTGAATGAGCATGATTGTGTTGCATTAAAACTTCATATTGCGCACCAAAATTTTAATTTCAAGTGATTCCTGCTTCTCATTAAATATTACTACTTTTTTTCCCTCAATCTTTGCAAATTCAAATTCTCAGCTCACAAAACCCTACAAAAAGAGGCAGCAGACTAGATTTTCCCACTGACCACAGTTCACTTACCCCTATTTTGCTCATCTTTGTTGTAGTATCACCAAGTATACTGACTAGTTCACGGATGTGCTCAGTAAATGTTTATTGGACCAATTTTCAACTTTTCCATAGAATTAATTCCACATTTACTGTGCTATTTCCTTAAATCAGCCGCTTTTTTTTTCCTTGTGTGTTTGAATAGGAAGGCCCAAACAGTCTGATTAATGAAGAAGAGTTCTTTGATGCTGTTGAAGCTGCTCTTGACAGACAAGATAAAATAGAAGAACAGGTATATATATTCATAATTATTATTTTTAAAAATTCTAATTTGCAAGAGTTTGAAAACTGAACTTAATCTTAAAAGTTAACTCTGTATGTGAGTCATAAATGTAGATGAATCTTGGTAAATCTGTTTCTTTATAGATTAATTTCTGAGCAATAGAAAGACCAGTAATTAAACCTTGGAGCCTTCAAGCTGAGCTACACCCTTACCCCTTTTTATTTTGAGACAGTGTCTTGCTAAATGGTGCAGGTGAGGTTCACACTTGGAATCCTCCAAGCAATCCTCCAAAATGCTGAGATTACAGGCATGTGCCATTATACCCAGCTAAACTTTAGCCATTCTTTGGCCATTGTTGTAGCAAATGTATATTGAATAAAGAATTTTTCTCTGAAGTTTTCTTTACTATATGAATTCAAAGGGAAGATGATCAAAAATTTAAGACTCTTTATTCTGTTTTTGACATTTAAGTTTTTATTATCAATTCCTTCATTGCCTTTACTACCTTCACTTTCAATTTCTTCCCCAGTTTTACTTTTTAGTCTGCTTTATTTTTTACTAATCATTGAACTCACAGCATATGTACACTGCTCCCTTTGTGAAAATTAAAGACAAGCATTTGTTAAATCCTAACTCTAGTTTCAAGATCAATTCTATCCCTTGCTTTAATTTTGCAACAATGCTGTTACTACATTTTACCACTAGATGGTACTTAAGAATGGATTTTAGTTATTCTTCTTGTTCCTTCTTTGTACTACTTGTGATAGATACTGCCTTCTTTTTTGGCCAGTGTGAATAAACTGTGACTATAAAGATCTTGCAGATAATCACTTGTCAGTTTTATTTTACAAATGACCTTGAGCAGAAATATTGGCCTATCCATTTCCTGTCATTACAAAAATAGTCATGCCCATTTTGCCCATTTTCTAGTTTAACCAAAGAGGAATTTATCTGCAGTAAATCACTACTGGCCTCTCATATATTTCTTTGTTTTTAAAATGAGTTATTTAAAGTTCATTCACTTGTAAAGCTTATTGCTCAACTTTTATATTCCAGAGATACTACACAGTACACAATAAGAGTAGAAACTTTCATTAGGAAATGTTCTAAATGGGCTCTGTTTTGGAAGCCTAAAGTACTTCCTGAAGTGCTATCATTTGTTTTTTTATTTGATTTCCCTTCTTGCCCCTACATTATGCTGTTATGGGAAGAATAGTGAACTCTAGAGTCAGAATACCTCAGTCTTATTCTTAATTTTACCATCACCTAACTTTGTAATTATGAATTTAACTCTTAAATTTTCTGCACTTCAGTTTTCTAACCTATGCAGCAAGAAGCTAGATAGGGTAATTCAAAACATCCTTTTTATCTCTTAAAAAATATTACTCTACTGAATATCAGTGTGCTGGTTGAGTTGGACTTAAGAGACCGAGTGAAAACTTCTGTAAACTTTAGAAAAAGAAGTGTTTGTGAGGCAATGAGATCATTTAATTTCAGTCTGTTCTTGTCTCTGGGAGGTGCTCTATAAAACAGTCATGGAACAGCCCCTGAATTTGCCCATGTACTAGCCAACCACATCAGTGTGTTGACTATAGTTTCACTGTAGAGTAGCAACCTTCAGAAACCTGTGAAATCAGTTCCACAGGTTCAGATCATTTTCCTCTATATAGGCAGTATATATTTCACAGAGTCTGAAAAAGTAATGGATCACGTATTTTTGAGTTGATATTATTTGCAAACATAGGGAAAGACACATGCAGTAAGTTGGGGAGTGAGAAATGAGATACTAGCCTTATGTTCAAATAGCCTTATGTTCAGAAGAAGTTACCAGACAACTGACCATTGAAACAGCCTTTGTGTTGCTGCAATGTTGGTGCGATAACTTCTTCTGATTGTTTACAGATAGTGATTCTGCTTAGGTTCCAAACTCTGCATGATACACTTTTTAAGTAGTACTTTAAAGGAGAAAGTTATAAAAGGAGTTATATAAGGAGTTGCTATAAAAACTACTACCAGTTAAAGTTATTTGAATTTGTATCGTTTACTATAAATTCACTTTATTCATATTTGGTTCACACAGGATTTAATCCAACACATATCCTACTAAAGCCAGGTCAGCATATGTCTTGAAATACTGGGCTGGCCAAATAGCCTAGCAGATTAAAGCACCTGCAAGCAGGCACAGGGGCTGGGGTTCGATCCCTGGGCCTGCTGTGCCATGCGTGCCCCCCACACACACACACACACGCTGAGACAGCAATTAAGACTGGGCGTGGTGGTACCCGTGCCTGTAATCCCAGCTCTTGGGAGGCTGGAAACAGGCGGATCACAGCAAGTCCAATCTAGTAGTGAGACTCTGAACACCCTGTAGACCCTACAGGGTGTA